AAAGATGGCGTGGTAGGATCCTAGGAAGTCCACCACCTCAAAGGTGAGGACCTCCGAGCGGAAGTTGGCTCGGTCACCAAACATGACAGGCAGGTCGATCTGCCCGAGCGGGTGTGCCTGTGTCCCTAGGATCATGCCGTGGAAGGGAGAGCTCACTGGGCGGAGCTCCGACAGAGGGATGTGCATGGCGTCGAGGGTGTCGATGTGGAGAATGTTGAGGCCGCTGCCTCCGTCCATCAGCAAATTGGTGAGGCGCTTCTTGCAGACAATGGGGTTGACGACGAGCGGGTAGCGACCTGGTCTGGCGATGTGGGAAGGATGGTCCCTCTGATCAAAAGTGATCGGAGATTCTGACCAGCTAAGAAAAGTGGGGACGGCCGTTTTAGTGACTCATGCCTCTCTGTAGCGCACCTTGAGCTGGCACTTGGAGTAGATGGTATCAGATCCCCCAAAGATCATGAGGCATTCCTCAGGATCAGGAAAGCCATCATCATCCTTTCCTACCGCGCCTCCCTTTTTGGCGCGCTACCTCCTTGCCCTTTCCTTCCTTTGGCCCGCTGGCCTGTCGCATAAAGCGCTTGAGGAGTTCACAGTCCTTATAGAGGTTCTTGACGGGGTAGGCATGGTTGGTACATGGGCTCTCCATGAGCTTGTTGAAGTGGTCAGGCTGACCCTGCTGGGGCTACTTGCCCGCACGATCTGCCGCGGCGATCAACCCAGAGTTGGCCGGTTGGCGCCGATCCTTCTTGTTCTTTTTGCCCCTTTGTGTGGAGGGGCCCTTATCTTAGTCCTCACGCTTGGCCTTGCCCTTGTCCCGGCCTCTGCTAAAAACCACTCCAACCGCCTCCTCACTAGAGGCATGGTTCGTGGCGATGTCTAGCAGGTCATGGGTGGTATGGGGCTTCAGACAGCCGAGCTTGTGGATCAAGGACTCACAGGTTGTCCCGGAGAGGAACTCGCTGATGAGTACGCGTCAACCACATCAGGAAGGGAGTTGCATCGTTTTGAGAACCTACGGATATAATCCCGTAGGGACTCGTTGGGCTCCTGTTGGTAGCTCCTGAGGTCTAGGAATTCCTAGGATAGACATACGTCCCCTGGAAATTCCCGATGAAGATCCTTTTGAGATCCGCCCAGTCGCGGATGCTGTCAGGCGGGAGGAATTCGAGCCATGCTCGAACATGCTCTCCCACGTAGATGGGGAGGTATTGAATAATGAAGTGGTCATCATCCACTCCTCTGGCTCGGTAGGTGAGCCAAAAGTCTTTGAGCCATATACCGGGATTCGTTTTCTCGATGTATTTGGCGATGTTGGAGGGTGGTCGGAAGCGTTGTGGGAACGACGCTTTCTAGATGCGACGGCCAAAGGCCCGTGGTCCTGGGCTGTCCGGGCTGGGACTCCGGTCATCTGGTCGGCAACCATGCCTGGGGTGCGTGTCCCCGCTCCCCTCGATGGTCTGTCCGGGGCCCGTGCCGCCTTCTCTCACCGCCCCTTGATGGACGTCATCATCACGCCGGGCTTGACATCGATTGTTGATGACGCTGCGAGCGTCACGGTTCGGCCTGAGCCGTTTGCGCACAGGTGGTCGGTGTGGAGTGGGCGCTAGGTCAGGCCGTGGTGCAGCTACGGCCACCTGTTCTATGCCTGGCGACTGTAGCGGTGATCGGATGGAGCGATTTGACTGGTGCGCCCCCATTCCCCTGGTGGGGAGAGAGGCCACGAGCCGGTGTCACGACGCAGAGCTCTCCGCCTGTTGAACGGCGGCGGTTTCCACCAGCGCCCGGAGGTTCCGGTGGATCGCCTGCTCCTGGGGGTCGATAGGCTCTAGAAGGCCGCGCAGAAGCATCGCCGCAGCGGCGATGTTCTGGCCAACCCGAGCGAATTGTGGGGGATCGTTTCCTCCATTTAGGATGTTGCGCTGGACCTGACAGGCGTGACCCCGAGAGCCGCTTGCTGGCTCACGCGCGTGTGGCGCAGCGTGCTGCGCCGAGCGTGCCAGTGCAGGTGGCAAGTGGCTCTGCCACCTTTGTCGCATCTCCTCGCCATGATCCTACGCACGAGCAAGGGCCTTCGCACGAGGGTCCGAAGGGGTATGAGTCTGTAGAGACTACGCTACCACCGGTGGCTGTCCCAGAGCGTCCGTCATAGCGCACTGCCAGAACAGAGGGTGGCCAAGTGCCACGTCACCGATGCTGGAGCTATCATTTTCAACCTCGTCATCCACGAGATCATGAAAAGAGGCAGGAGCGTAGCCCGCCATCCCCACAAATTTGGATGTGAGAGGGAGTGGTATCAGCGACCTTCGGAGCCCCCGTGCGTATGTGTCCGTGGGGGATGTGAGGCCATAGGGGAACCGGTCGCACAGCGGTTGCGGCGGGGCAACAAAGACCCTTCGAGAATCGGTGAAAGGTATCCGACAGTGAGTAAAGAACAAAATGTATGTTACTAACAGTGGGGTTTGAGCCTAGCGTGGGCTCGAAGCGAAGCGCAGGTGTCTCATCGTTGAGGCCGTCGGGTGGCCCGGAGCCGACGGAGAGCGCTCCTCCTCCGATGGGCGCCGGGACATGTGCCTCCTCTTAGAGGCGAAGTACGCTGAGCTGGTCGGCGATGAAGTCTAGGCTTCCAAAGAGGAAGGTCTAGGACGGCTCGGAGACGGAAGGAACCCACATCCCAACAGGTGGGAGCATGGGAAACTCCAGCGAGCCGAAGCGAATCGTATCGCTTGAGCCTGTCATGCCGAAGATGGTGGAAAGGTGGGATATCCGATGACCAAAAGCGTGAACGTACGACGTTCTCCCCACGGACGGCGCCAACTGTCGGTGCGAAAAGTGACCAACAAGTAAATATTTATAGTTTTGCCGTGCGTTGTGATCAGATGTGGCCTAGCACTCAATGACACAGGGTTTATACTGGTTTAGGCAACATGCCCTATGTCCAGTTCCAGTCGGTCGGTGACTTTATTCCTGAGCCCAGGTGCTCGAAGTTTGCTGTGGGGTTACAAACGAGTGGTAATAGAAAGGGGGTGTTAAAGGTCCGATTGGGCTCTGAACCGAAGGGCCAAGAGTGATAAGAGCTCCAACGTGCGCTAAGTATTGAAATGTACGCTCTGTGTAGCTTTAGAGCTCTATAGTTGTGGAGCTGTTCGAGTGCTCTGAATGTCTAAGCTAAGCAGAGAGAGAGTCGAAATGTCCGTCCTCCGTTGAGAGGGAGCGCATCCCCTTTTATAGGTGAAGGGGGATGGCCTTACAAGAGAGAGAGAGAGTTTGCACGTGTGCTACTAAGCCTTGGTGCCCACGCTGTCAGGTACAAGACGGTCGTCGGTGCCCACAATATTGTTTATGTCAGACGTATGTGACAGGCTTTACTGTGTTCGCCTGGTATGACAAATGACGACGCCTACAACACTGTAAGGTAAATATCGGCGCCCACAACACTGTTTGGGTTCTGATATGCCTAGAAGGTTGCAAAGCACCATTCTGGTATGGTAGGGTACGGTCCTCGGTATTACGGTTGACTTGAGCGTCTTGCCTTATCTGCTCTGCTTGATTTTTGGGTCCTCACTGAGTAGGCGTCCCCGGTCGGTCGTTCCTAGTCGGCTCCGACCGCGTCGGTCGGAGAAGAGCTGTGAGCAGAGGTTCGGCGTGTTCCCGGTCGGAAAAGCGGGTAGGAGTCGGAAGCGAGCGTCGTCCCCTCCTTAGCCAGGCCTTCCGGTCGGAGACTGGATTGCTCTTCCGGCCTGTCGTTAGGTATCTGGACCGGCCCAGGAGTCGCATGTTGTCGTAATGCCGTCTGCTGGGCCGAGCTTTTGCTGGAAAGCGGGCCCATCATAACCCTGGGTTTATGAACCCGACAAATATATTATAAACCATTAAAATATCCATGATGCTAGACACCTCAATATCTCCTGAAACTTCTTTCTCCCAGAGCACTCCGCAAAATACATACAGTAGCATTTAGAAAAGCAACATTTCGAATCACTATGTGTTTTAGCAAAAAAAAAACCATTCTGCCAATGTTATTGTAACTTCATAATACAAAAAAAAAACTAGTACTCCGTAGCACTTATTTTCCTTTTCTGTTTGACTAGAATAATATTCACCGTACAGTGTAACATGTGCCAGAGAAATGCTTGTATTTCTCTTTGCAAAAGGAAAAAAAAAGTTTGTATTTTGAAAGATTCAGGCAAACTGGCTATGCAAGCAGAGCTGTTACTGTGACACCAAATCCACTTTATGTCAAGGCCATATTCGATTCTCTTATAATCCGTTTTTTCAGTTTGTTTTTTTAGTTGGAATAATATTTTTTCTCTCACAATAAATCAGTTGAAACAGTATTTCGATTTGTTTTTTTAACGAAGCGAACGGGCCCAGTCATGGGGCGTGTTTAATGCAACAAAATCTTAACAAGCTCTCCACATTAAGGGAGATTGACACTGAAGCTGTGCATCGGTACGGAGTACTGTTTTTCAGGTTATGGGGTAGCTTGTCAGAAGCCGCATTTGCCGCCAAAATATTAGCTTGCTCTGCAGCATCAGTCGCTTAAATCTATACTCGAGCGTCCTTTGCTGTCCGGCTCCTGCCATGTGTAGTATGCATCTACCCTGTAGTTGCAAGGCTATGTCCAACCTAACACATGAGCAAGAGTCTGAAGCTGGGAACGGGGAATCAGTGTCCCAAAGCTTTACCTTGAAATCTCGAATGGTCTATTTCTGAAAGCTAATATTTGTTAGAATGCCTTGCTTTCGGAGACTACCACCTATCAGAAGTGGTCCTTTTGGGCATTAGGTGGTGCGTAATGTAATGCTTGCATGTGAGGACGCTGGCCGATCGAGCTGGGACAAGCTACAGACACTGACCCTGCACTTCCCTGCCTGTGCAGTTCTGCCTGCCTTGTGTTGCTGATTGGACTGACCACAAACCTTGGTCATCACACTTCATTCGCGCTAGTAGCTACTGACGGATCAACCTCAACCTCGTACATTTCCTGTCCTGATGAACAGACTGATCACCAAGAAGGAGGTCACACAAACCGTCCGGGTGAAGCCCGGGATGAGGAAAGGCGCGACGGTGACGTTGGAGGGCGCGGGCGACGAGCGGCCGGGCTGCCTGACCGGCGACGCCGCGTTCGTCATCTCCGAGAAGAGGCACAGGCGGTTCAAGCGGCTCGGCGACGACCTGGTGCTCAGGGCCCGGGTGCCGCTGGTCAGCGCGCTCACCGGGTGGCAGCTCTCGTTCAGGCTCCTCGGCGGCGACAGGTTCAGGTACGCGTTCCGGGACGAGGTCATCTGCCCCGGGTACGTGAAGGTCGTCAAGGGCCGCGGCATGCCCGTCGCCGGCGGGGACAGAGGCGCGCACGGGGACCTCATGGTGAAGTTTGACGTCGTGTTCCCTGAGAACCTCACGGACGAGCAGCGGAAGGGGCTCGCCGAGATCCTGAGAGGCTGCGAATGAAGCTTGCTGATGATGATGTACTGAAACTGCGTCCTGTGACGGCTTCGTGTCGTGTAAAATTATGTTAGGTGATTCTGTTGATAGATAGACAACTCGGGACAGGACTCTACAGCGTGTATATAGATTAGAGGTTTCTGTTTTTGAACTAATAATATACATGGTTGTAAAAGTTTACAAGAACAGGATACGGCAATCTTTGTCGTTTGTTTCTTTTATTTAGACGTTGCTCGGATGTAGTCGTATTCGTATCAATCCAGATGTGTTAAAGTTGATTGGAGCGAAACTTAAGAAGTATCCAAATGACATGTCTTATTTTACAATAACTCATGTTTATAGCAATGAAATACCACAACCTACCCGATATGATATATGAGAACTATATTACACCCCCAATCCACCCAAGTGGATTGAGGTGAATCCAACAACATCCAAATAAGGCTTTACGTGGCTCAATCTACAAAGTGACCTGCACAAATTACGTAGCTAGTAAAAAATATCTATATTCTCCGCGCTCATTTCAAATGATATTGGGGATTGGTTTTAGGTAATCTGTTGCAAGAGAGGAAGAAAAACATAGAAAACCAATAACAGGGGATCTCTTATCCATGCTCTTAAGGGAGAGGGGACAAAGAATCTGTTGGAGATGCTCCCTACTCAGAGATCCTGTATGTGTATGCACAGATCATCAAACATGCCAACAATCTTTGCTGCACAAAGAACAGCAACCTTGCATTCATTACGCCGTTAGGCAGTTTGAATTAATATACTACATTAAAAACAAAATCTGTTACAAAAAAAAGAACTAACACTGTCAACTATAGTACAGCCTTCCAAGGCGTCTGACAGTTCGAGAGCCAAGAGGGCATACAGATGCAGCTGCTAGTGTTACTGAACAAATATTACTGTCACACGGAATATCTCTAGCTAAGAAAAGCAAAATGCCGTAAGTTGGTAGCGAGCAATTCCAGAATCTGCAGAGATTTCACGAACCTCATGTAGGGTACAAGAAAGCTGCATCACCTTGGATTGCACACCATGGCCAGCTGCAGGGTTCATGTCTGCCAAGGAGTACGCTTTTAACCAGGGATTGCATGCCGATGATGGAAGCGCGGATCACATAAACAACAAGGATAGCTTGGGCAACTACTTTAGATATGTCCTGCCACCGGTGTTTGCTTGTCCATAACTGCATTGCAACCCGCAGACTTATCGGAAATGCTAAATTTGACACTAACCAAATGAGAATATACTCGTCCCAGCTGTTTGCAGGGTCCAATGTCAGCCCAACTACCGTTGCAAATGCGACGACCATGGACAGAACTGCTCCAAAAACCAGTGCAGCAGACAAAATGAGGTAAAAACGGCGATGCCTTGTCAGTCTGGCAAACACAGACAGAATTATCGCTGTTGTAGATAGATAGAATGACATGCTGTTTGCAATTATGAATATCCAGAAACCAGTTCTTCCTCCGAATACTGGCTTACCGGCATCCTTGCCTTCTGCAATATAGCCACCAGGTGGAGTCAAAGCAGCAGTGAGTGAACCAACTACAATAAATATAGAGATGTATAAAATGCTCCGGGACACATTAGCATAATTGCTTGATTCCTTCTTTTCTTCCAAGCACCACTTATCTGTCAAGTTTCTAGCCTGGTGGCATGGGCTGCTGGAAGCTTCACAGAGGGTTAAGCATGTGATGATGGAAGTGTTCGTGAACTGCATGAAAAGAGAAACAACAGAGTAAGAAAAGGCCGTACCCAGTGCAGAGAGCTCCCGCTCTGTGCGGGGTCTGGGGAAGGGTGTCAGTGGCAAGCCTTAACCTTGCCTGTGCAATGCGAGGAGACCGTGACTCGAACCCAGGACCTTCCGGTCACAGGCGGTAAGACTCTACCGCTTGCACCAGGCACGCCCTTCAGAGTAAGAAAACAAATGAAATTTTGGAAGAGAGGAATGCACACAATGGTAACTTACCGATGAAAAAGTATAATCACTGTGTAACGTACTGAAGGCAACATCTAGAGGTGTTAATCCCTCATTGTTCATAATGTCAAGATTCACCATAGTATCCATCATAAGTAAGGAGAAGATCAGTGTGTGCCCCTTCTTTACAGCCAGATGTAGTGGCGTGTTTCCTTCACCATCCCTTGCATTCATCATCCTAGCAGACTTTGGATTTCTGCAGATGTGCCACACCACCTGAATCCTGCCATGTTCAACGGCGCAATGTAGAATATTTCTGCGTTTGTTGTCAAGCAACTCATCATAGTTCAGGCATATCTCCATGAACTTGCAGACAATATTAACGTTACCCACTATAGAGGCAATGTGCACAGGATATAGACCCTCATTATCTGGAATGTATGCAAGAGAGCTGTTTGCCAATAAATGTTTCACTGGTTCAAGGTTTTTAGCTAATGTTGCATAGTGAAGGGCAGTTCTTCCATAATCATCGACCACTCGGGCAAGTGTTGGATCCCAACATTGCAGAGACTCGCCTATTTCTAAAACAGAAAAAAGACAGGATTACCATTTGACAAAATACAAATTACTCATCAAAATAAGAAACAAGTTGATCAACTAATCTGTGCAACACATACTTATATTCTATATAAGGCATTTTTCAATGTAAAGAGTTTAAAGTGGCCCTAACTTACAACACAAAGATTTTGCTAGTTGCTATAAACACAATGTCAAGGACCTTTCATGGCCTCTAATATTGGGACCTAATACCAAGGAAATTTGTACATCTTGGACTGCTGGTAAAGTAGGGATCAATGTAATGTCAGACATCATTTAATTTTATTACATAGGACCTGGTTTTAAAGCATGCAGCATGTCCCTTCCTAGAATCAAAACTCACTGTACAGGATCAGGATCTTTATCAAGTTAAACCATATTTGACCCTAACCACCTAAAACTTCATTTGCGTTGGTAACAGAAAATGGGGCCGTTTATCAAAGCTCTGGAGATTGAGCGATATAAGGCACCAACTTCTACTATTATTTAAATATTTCATCTGAATATAACAATCTGCAGAGATTGAGCGATATAAGGCACCATCTTCTACTATTATTTAAATATTTCATCTGAATATAACAATCTGCATAATATAAGGGAGATGAATATTTGAAGTGTAAATAAACATGAGCATTTCCAGAGCATTGAACAAATTAATAAAGCTACTCAAATTCACTTCTACGATAAGCAAATATAAAACAGAGAAAAATTTAGCTTCAACATGATTAATTTTATCAGGTTTTGCTCTCAGATACAGGATACTACTCTAGGTAGCCAATCATGGTCATATTGGCTATCTTGGATCTCATATTAGTTTGAAAGTTCCAATTAGACAATTTTAAGGTTTTAGACTAACAATTAAATGCTAACAGCAAAGCTATATTACCAGACAATCAATTTAAACATACAATAGCTGCAACTATATGATGATTATAATTGGAGTCCTGCACAAGTAATTTTCTACTGGAGGTAATAAAATTCTTCATCGGTAGAATGAACACCCTGGAACCTTCGGATTGATACTATCACACTGATCATCAGTAAGCTGCTATCACCATTGAAGTGCCACTCACAAAGTCAGTCTGCAATCATCCACACCTCTAACAGAAGTAAAAAATTGCATAATTAGGCAAAACTTTAAACTGACTAAGGCAACAAGGGGACTCAACGTGTATGCCTAAGCAGGAAGGTCCAGTGAAAATGGTGGTTCAGTCCCGGAAGAGCCACCTCGCTGATCACGTTGAGGAACACCAATGAGGGATCAATGGAGACAGTGAGGTTACCAGACTGCGCTGCTTGGTCCAAAATGCCAGTTTCCTTTCTATTTTCCTTTCCTTTTCTTTTTTTGTATTTCATTTTATTTCTATGTTATGTTTTATCACAAAATAAAAAATAAATGGGAAACCCCCATACATTGGACTACACCTAAGGTCACTTAGTAGTTAGAGACCACTTTTTCTTCACAATGGAGACACTTGCATTCACTTTTTCTTCGGTTTCATTTCTGCACTAGATAAGTATTTTTGTTCTATTTGAGATTCTCCTGTAAGCAACCTTATCTATTTTGTCTATGTTGTGTGTGGGGGCGCGTTAAGTGGGCTTTTCTTTTTTGTCAACAATAAATCATACTTTTATTCAATAGCTCAACATCGAGTTAAATAACCAGTTAGTTCTAATAGAGACCCAACGGCCACAAGAAGAGACTTTGGTTTATTAAAAAAAAAGATGACTTATAGATAGAAATTTGGTTTAAATTCTTGCAGGAATTTATTTATGAGAAAATGCTACACTGCCTTTAAACTTTTAAGTGTACAAGGTTCATAGCTCCAATAGAACTGTAAGAATTCAAGTTACCTCTGCTGATGTAGACCGCAGCATGCAATGCAGTTTGTCCATTTGGCCCAGAGTAGCTCACCGGTGTCACACTGTTTGAAGGTTCTCCAATCAAGACTTTGACCATGTCTGCCCGATTGGACGCAACCGCCAAGTAAAGCGGAGACACACAGCTCTCATCTTCCACTGCAGCCAGTCCACTATCCTTCGACATGAGTCTCTGCAAGATAAGCACATGGCCATTCCTGACCGCTTCATGCATTGCAGTCGCCCCATCCAAATTCCTCGCCCTCAAATCTTCTTGCTCATCCATAGCACACTCCATGAGGTAATTGGCTACATCTACATGCCCAGCCCTCGCGGCACAAATCAGAGGTGTATCACACAGATTATTCCTTGCCTTGATAAGCGACATGTCCTGAGCACAGACCATCTTGACGAGCTCCAGGTACCCACAGCTGGCTGCAATGTGGAGCGCCGAGCTTCCCTCTGCCGTGACGCCTTTGAGGCAGCTCTCTTCTCCCTGCTCAACTGTTGCCGAAGACTGTAAGCCTAGAACTTGTTCTAATAGGACTGCATCGCCTGTGGAAACAGCTTTGAGCAATTCGTGCTTCATTGTGTGTGGAGTGTGCCTTGCTGCCATGTATTCCAGTGCCAGATGATAAAGTTGCAATGGAATACATTTGCATAGCCAGAATTGCTATGTTCCGTCCTCAACTTCTCGTATATACAGAGCCGTGTGGATACTAATGGCTAACGGAACTTCCTAGCAAGCTCCTTTGTTACTAACGAAGTCAAACAATTGACACAACAGTTTGCTCTAGTTAATTATTCGGTTGCTTAGAATACATGCCCACTATACACACAATCTGGCGGATCAGACTTGTGAGGCCACTAACTCGCAAAGAAAAAGACAAACCTAGCAAGCCATGACCAACTTCATCCTTAAGTTAATCAGGTGGATCTGGGTTTACACTGCCCCAAACAAAAATAAAGCATCCAGCGCAACCTAATCCAGTATCATATTCCCTTGGAAGTCCTACGCCCTTGACATATGATACAACTAGTGAAGAATTAGTTAAATGTCACCTCGGGGTACAAACAGACACAGCTCAGCTGCAGGCACAAAGTTCATTGTATTGAACAATAGATTCACAATATCGGTGACCGATGCAACAAGTCCAGAATCACGCATAACTGCAACACAAGTACACGACTTAGCTGAAATCAACATCACACAGAACGATCACAAGGCTTCCATTTTCATTATGTCCTATTGCAAAACCCCAAACCCCCCAACCCCAAACCAAAGACAATAAATAGATGAAATGGCGAAGAGGGTAGAAAGTTGATTACTAAAGCTGCCTGCTCAGCCACCGGCAGCGGCGCAATCACAGTAATCCCTCATCGCCCTCGCGCGGGGCGCGGCGCTGGCCACACCGCCTGCCCCCTCACCTCCTAGGGTTACACGGTGCCAGCAAGTAGTAACCTGCTTCATCATGCGGCTGCTCTTCTCGTCTGCCCGAAAGCCGGCAAGTAGCAAGGCCGCAGGGCGGCGCAGGAGCAGAGAGCGGCTCGACCGCTCGAGCCTGGACGGAAGGGCTGTATGGGCTTGGATGGGCTGGGCTGGGTTAACGAAATAGAGCCAGTTAACAATGGCGGCGGGCTACAGGCTGGACTGACAAGGCGTATACACGAGAAATGTCCTAAAATTCGGCCCAGTTTTGGGAAAAATTGCAGAAACCCCCTATATGCCGATTTGATTTTGTCTTTCCCCTCTATATAAATCATTTTGTGGCAAAAGTACTTCTGGTATTTTCAATATGGTTTTATTTTCCTCCAAATTTATAATGTGCTTAACAAGCTTCGTTTTTTTCATTGGTGTAGTATAACTGGACGATTGCTTATTACTTCATGATATGTATGGGCATGGTGAATGGCTACCATCATAAGCATAAAGATGTAGACTGATAATGTGAGGACCCTTCAATTAATAATATTAAATCAAGTTGTTAATTATTAACCACACTTGATTTAACATAATTGACAGAAATGTAGTCGACCATTGCATATAAAAAGGGAGCACATAGTTCACACAGGTTCAACACATAAAGGTAGTATAGAGATTTACAGCGCAAGTTCCATTAACAGTGGTTCATGCTACCACCACGAACTATGCAAGTTTTGATGGATATACATGGACATGTCCATTTCGTATTCCTTTCATCCTCTGTCTTTCTCATCTCTTCCTCTCAAATTCATGGCTGCCAAGGTCTCCTTCAACAATTCAAGTAGATCTGATGACCTTAAGCGAGAGATCTTGTGATCCAAGTGGCCAAGCAAGATAAGCGATTAGGGTTTCAAGGTTCAAAATTTCGGGCGACTATAAAGAGATCTTTTGGAGGTCGGTGGACCGGCGATGTAGCATAGTAAATGTGTTGCCTAAAGAGATGGTGGAAAAAGGCTAGTTGGGTGATGTAGGTGGCGGGAGACGTCACCATAAGAGGGAGTGAATTTTTTTTCGATGAGGGCTGGTGGTAGCGGAGGCAACATTTGGTTGCGGATGGCGGTGATGGCAAGGGCGAGCAACCTCCTCTCGATTAGTGAAGGAATGGGATGGAGTGGTGAAGGGCGGTGGGTGGTATGGACAACAATTATGACAACATCGTTGGCCGAGGAAAGCGATGGGGAATGACAGTGGCGTTTGGTCAACACACTAGCAGGGAGAAGCTATGTTATAGCCAGGGGTGCAAATCCCTCTTAAAATGAAAAAACAGTAATTTTAGCTAAAATTCTACCATATATTCCTAGACATATGTTTATGTACCCTCTTGATTCAATTTGCTCTAACTTCGCCACTGCACATTGGTAATGTCGAACTCATCTTTCTGTGCATGACATGTTTCTACGTTAGAAAAAAATGTTGAAAGATAGAAATCATAATTATGAGTTATATGTTGGGAGAAAATACCAAAAATAGAAATCATTATGAGTTTTCATTCTAGTATGGAATGTGCATGCAAAATGGTTAGTCTTGTGCAACTGAAATTTAAGACCTATTTAGATATTGGCCAATTGTTAGTTACTAAATTTTTTAACGCATCCAAATAGGAGGGCTAATAGGCGGATTAATTTTTAACTAAATTTTTAATTAGTTGTTAGCTAACTAGCTAATTAACTCTAACTAATTTAGACTATTTTTAGGTCTGATCGGAGACTACGTAGCTTTAGGGATTAGAACATGCCTTAGCATGGTCAACAAAACGTCCACTGTGCACAAGCCCAACCGACCATGTTGAACTTCAGGTACACAAACGTAGCTACGCTACCAGGAAAAATAAGAAGTTAAGAATCCTTGAGAGAACACCGCCACTCGTCTACCCCTCTCTATCTTTGCCTCAGAGCAGCCCCAATGCAGACCACATCTAGGACTTTGAGCAAAAAGTTATTGTCATATAGGCTTTCATGTGGAACAACTATTGTCCCAACGCAGCAAAAGTAGGAGTGCTGCTTCACCCGACCCCTTTACTCGACGCGTGCGCGTTAGTTGAGATAGTAGAGCACACATCGTCTTCCTCCTCTGGCCATCTTCCCAACTTCCCCTTTCTTCGCACACTTCCCTCCTTACCTAGGTCGTCCGGGACCTCACCGCCACCTTCCTCGCTATCATGACCCGCTTCTTCACTAACGTTGTGCTTGGTCGCCCCACCACATGACCACCTTACCATCGGTTGTCATTCACATTACTCATCAATTTGGCGCCATCGTCACCACACCTCGCCGCCCTCAAACTGCCACCACCGCAGGACCGCCCACCACTCCGGCCATCCCTCTAGGATCGAAGGAGATTGTATATTTCTTCAAAGTTCCAACCCTAACCCTAAGCCCGTCTTCCCCGCGGCTGCCCGCAGCCAGCAGATAGGATGCTGCCACACCGCTCCGACCGCCTCCCCCCACGCACCCACCGTCCTCCCCTAACCAAGAGGAAGACACCGTGAGCTCATCGTCCCCGCTGCCGCCCGCTTTATCCATCGCCGTGGCCGGCGACAAGGATCTTGCCACCTCCCACCCTTGCCATAATAACAATCTGCAGAATAATACCGGGCGTCGTCTAATAATTTTTTGGTGCTTCATCTGCACACCCTAGGGGTGGTTTAGCTGGCGAAATTTTTTAGGGAATGGTACTGTAGCACTTTCGTTGTTATTTGGCAATTAGTGTCCAATCATAGTCTAATTAGGCTTAAAAGATTCGTCTCGTGAATTTCGTCTAAACTGTGTAATTAGTTTTATTTTTTATTTATATTTAATGCTTCATACATACGTCAAAAATTCGATGTAATAAAAAATCTTAAAAAAATTTACAAAATTTTGGAAACTGTCCCAGTCCAGCAGCAGGACCACGAGCACTCTTTTCTTTCATCCATATTCTTCTCTCTCCTCAAACCTCTACTTTTTCCGACCAAGCTACAAGTTCTTCTGCAGGCTGCAGCACCTCTGCTAGACTACGAAACCACTGTCTCACGCTCTCTTTCCTTCACGCCACATTCAAGCCTACGTGGCTCCACGAGGCCAATAGGGCCTTGTTTAGATGGTCTCAAATTCCAAATTTTTTCACTCTTTCTCCATTACATCAATTTTTAGATGCATATATGGAGCATTAAATATAGGTAAAAAAAGTAACTAATTGCATAGTTTGGTTGTAAATCACGAGATGAATCTTTTGAGACTGGTTAATCCATGATCGGATAAAGTTTGTCAAATACAAATGAAACATGCTATAATGTCCAGATTGTAAAAATTTATAATCTAATCAAGGCCCAGGTAATAGCCATGCTCGTGCGTTGAGGCTGGCCTCACATGTCACCCAATCAAGTCCTATGTCCTATTTTTATCATTTTTCCAAAACTACATATCTTATCGAGATCCTCTGCCGTAAAAGGTACGGAACAAGTCCAAAGCATTGAAAAAGTCAGGCCTCGCTTAGGCCTTATTTACGCCGTGTTTAGTTGAGGAAACTTTGGATTTTGGGTATAGTAGAGAGGTTTCGTTTTTTTTTGGTATAATCCGTTTAAATCTTGGACTAATTTATTAAATCAAAAATCTATCGTTAACACATATGTAATTTTCACTACATTGTTAAATCATAAATTAATTAGTTTTTTTTTCTAAAATAATCGTAATATATATAATTAGTTTTTTTTTATCTATATTTAATATTTTATGCGATACGATGAATAGTGGAGCAGGCTGTAAACTTTTGAGAATTTGTGTTGCAACTAAACATGGGCTTAGATTGCCACTTTTCAACCCGATAAATAGTCTTAATTTTCGCCTGATTTGGTAAATATCAACAAATATCAGGGGATCAACCACACCAAACAGATTCATCTATAGTGATTTCCAACTAAATCAGTTCGAAAAGAGTGAGTTATTTTTTTTTACCTACGTTTAATACTGTCTTATTAAAAAATTAAAAAATTATGTGATGGAGTTATTAATAAAGTATCTTAAATGATAAAAATAAGTTATAATAAAATATATAATATTTATATAAAATATTTGAATAAGACGGAAAACGACGCTCGGAGGGAGTACCAACCTCCGTGCGCTCTCGCCTCGACTCGGCTTGCCACTCTGCTTCCGTGCGCCTTCCCCGTCTCGACTCCTCGCATTCGCCGCGGCGTCAACGCGTCTTCCTTCCCGCGGTCTCTCTTCCTCCGCCTCTCAGATCCGGCGGCCATGGCGAGGAACCCGGGCTGCACCGTCTTCATAGGTGAGATCTCGCCTCCTCCCCGCGCGCTCCCTTCCTTCTCGACTGCTCAAGGTCCGAGTCGCCGCGTCGCCGGGACGGTCCGGTGACTCCCGCGGAGGCTCAGTATCTCGCAAGGTTTCCCTTTCCTCAAATTCTTCCGTGGTTGCTTGGATTTGGCGTGCGGCGGGTAGAACCTAGGAATCTAATCTTCGTGAGGTCGCTGTCCACACGCTTATCCTCTCTCATCGGCGGTTGGAACTGTTGCTTCCGCCCCCAAATCGGGACGTATCGTACTTCCTTCTCTCGTCCGCCGTCGGCTCTCTGTTTACTAGGGAATTTGGTGGCTTCCGCCTTGTAATTTGCCGCTCAGTTCCGCCGTCGGCTCTCTGTTTACTAGGGAATTTGGTTGGTTCCGCCTTGTAATTTGCCGCTAAATTCCGCCGCCGGCTCTCTGTTTACTAGGGAATTTGGTGGGTTCCTCCTTGTAATTTGCCGCTCAATTAAATGCAACGGTGATTTGCTAAGGTTCCGGTCTGCCCTCCCGGACTCTTATGTTAGGTTGGTGATTGCCCTCGCGGATCCAAATATAGCAGGAGCTATTCCCCAAAACAGAATTTAGATTTTATCAGGGTTAATTGCATAAGCTTCCCGTCTTCTCTTGTAATTTTTTCCCTGTGAAGACGACGGATGAACTTAGGTAGAAATAGCTCACTTATAAGTAAACATCTCTCGTGCCATCAATGGAAATTGGACATCATGGTATTGAAGCGATTATCATGCCATCACGTTGCAGTTCAGCTTGGGTAATTTTAATCAGTTACCGCGAAGATCTTGATCCTATAGTCCTTTCCAAGTAACGAATAAGAAAAAAATTGTCTCGCGTCAGCCTCGTCTGTTATGTTCTTTGTTTGACTAGTAAGTGTTCTCAGGCTGCCTTTTTGCTTATTCCTTGCTTGGCTCAGGCTTCCTTCTGTATGAACTCCTTTTTTGCAGTTTTATACTTTTATGCATAGCTTCATGTGTATGTTATGCTATTCTGCTACCTATCATGGTTGTTGCTTGTTGCGCAGCCCTGGTACTACTTAACCTATGTAGTTGTTTTGTTATTCTACCTCTTGTTTTTGTTGTCAGACATAATATATTAGTGTTGTGTGTATGTTTTTTTTCTTAAATAGGTAACTTGGATGACAAGGTTCCTGAGAGGGTTCTGTATGAAATTCTTATTCAGGTAGGTCGTGTTGTAGACCTACACATACCTCGTGACAAGGAAACTAGCCGACCAAAAGGTTATGCTTTTGCTGAGTATGAAACAGAGGAGATTGCCCAGTATGCTGTTAAGCTATTTTCTGGCCTTGTTCGACTTCAAAATAAAGCACTTAGATTTGCGGTGCGTTTCTTTTTGCTCCCTCATTTTACACAAGTTACATTAGTATAGCTGGATAGTTGAATGTTACTGTCCCTTTTTCATATTATATAATACTCCCTCCATCCCTAAATGTTGGATGTTGATTAGTTCAAAATTAAACTAATCAACGTCAAACATTTAGGGATGGTGTGAGTATCTATTATGTATTTATGTGTTGGGTCATGGGACTCGGTCTTAGCCCAGCCCCATATATTTTTGTACTTTACTAATTGAGGGACTTGCACTTATTATATGTTTTTTTAGTATCGCCATAAGATTCAACTCTGAAATTACTGCAATTTTCGACAGATCTCTGGGCAAGACAAACCCTCATCAAATGGCAATATCCCTGTAACTCCTAGGTTAAACTCTGTACCACAGCCAAAGCAACCTCAACCTATGAGGTCTAGTGATACTCCTTTGCCACAGCATACAGCTGTGAATGGCAGGAGTGCTGGTTATGGTATCTCACCAAATCATTCATACGACACACACTCTCAAGGTGAGGAAAACTCTGGTCATTTTGAAATGCAAGACATTTAATGTTGAATTATGCGTTAAGTCTCACAACTCCCCTTTTGACCAGCACCGGCATCAAGTGGGTTACCGAGTAGAGGACTAAGCAACGGTACGTATGAATATAGTCGACGTGTATTTGGTTCTGTTCTGAATGATGTTAGCCGTCGAGCTACCAGGGAACCAGTTCCATACCCGTCCTACTAGCATGTTGAGCTCCACTCCAGTGACTGTGACTCTATGCTGACAGAAAAAGGTCTCTGAAGATGTTGTCTGTTGTCTCAGCCACATGTAAGGTTATCTCTGTACTCACCATTTCATGCCTGTAAATATGGGTTATGGTGGTAGGACATATGCTTGTCTTTTGGGTTGTTCTGTTCTTTGCATTGTAGTGAGACTTTTCCCTGCTGGTTAGGTCCTTCTCATTCCCTAGTGTAAGGCCATGCCTCCACTAATATGGCTGCACTAGGAATTACCATGCCTAATTACATGAATGGGTGGCAATATGCTCGCAGTCGTGTTTTAACATTCAGTGCCATTAACTGTTTCAATGTTATAGCAGGGCGTGTTCGTGTTTGAGATATTAGTATTTGGTGGATTTTGTGCTGTTCATCCTGGATCTGGGACATCTGAAGGAACATTGTTTTAAAAGAAAATTGTGAAATCAGTCCCACAGTTTATGATGTTTTATTATATGAATATTTGGTTGCATATGACTTGTTTGCTTGAGCTGTGTGTCTGTCCAGCACAAGCATTCATTATCGCCCAATTGGCTCTCAGGGTGATCAAGTTGTACTGTTACCTGGCTGCTCTCTGGTATTTGCAAGTTGATCTGTTGTCATTTCCAAGTTCATTAGCGTGGAAGCTGGTGCTGCTGGATTTTCACTTAACTGGTGAATTATCTAGATATTGCATTGTTATAATGCTACTCCATCTTCTTAGTTAGAAATCAGCTGGCTTTCTGAGGCGCAAACCAGCCGGTGACCACAAATCCACAATATTGTTGGTCAAGATGGGTCAGATACTGCCCATTTCTCTTAGGGCTGTATCTGGAAGCCCCATGACTGCGATTGTGAGCTCATGTACCTGTTGACCGTTGTATCTGCCTGTGATTGTGAAGCTCGTGTACCTGCAGTAGGCGGAGAACAGAATGGTAAAATATCAATACTTCTGAAGTTGGAACTTGACCAAGTCCCGTTGGGGATCCAAACTACAGGTTGTCAGAGTTCGTAATAGAGGCTCAGACTATGAAATCAATTTGGGACCAAAAGATATGACTGCACCATTTACCTTTTTACGATACAATTTTTATTGTGCAAATAATGAACCTTCATGGTAATCTGAACCTTGTGGCAGTTTTTTCTCTCACAGCAGTGCCACAAGTTCCGTCACTGCAGAATTGAACAATCTTCCCGAGACACCAAATTTTGCCCGCAGTTTAGGGATAGTACGTAGGCACGACTCGCTGGTAGCACATAGGACTTCGGCCCCTGCGTTGGCGTGATTTCTTTTCTGTGACGAACCGAATTTAATTACTTATAGCAGCAGCGAAATTACAGAAGTTTAACCACACAAGTTCCGTTTGCCATGGCTGCCATCAACATGTGCTTATTCATTTTCTAACACAATAACCATTTAGATGTTCCATAATCTCTATACAGTCCTTAGAAATTTATCAATTACTCCCTCCGTTCTAAATTATAAGTCACTTTGACTTTTTTGTTCGTCTATTTTGCCATGTATCTTCCACAACTAAAAAGACTAAAGAGTGGATATTTTTTTTGTGCGACATTCCAACGTAGGCCTATGGTTCTGCCTGTTGCGATCCTGCGCCCCCTCGCTACAATCGTCTGCGTCGTCGCTCTGGCTTGACCGTGCGATGCCGCGACTCCCAGCATCGCCTCGCCTCCCAACGCGAGCGCACAGCCTGGCAGTAAAAATGGAAGGTAATCCCAATCTCTGCCCGGCGCTCCATGCCCCTCCCCGTGCACCCTCCCCCAATCACGAGACACCTTCATCAAATTGCCCGTCGCTTCCTCCCTCGAACGCTCGCCTCCTCGCCAAGATCGCCCCCCACGCTCGTAAGCTCGCCCGTGGCTCCGCGTCCCTCCACCAGTTTTTTCCCCATCCGGCCATGGCAGTGGGCGGAGGAGCAATCCTCCGGCCGGGGTAGACGCCGTGGTTGTGGCCCATGGTCGGACCACCGCACCGGCAAGTGGCAATCACCTCCACGTGCTCGCTTCCTGCGATGGCCTCGCTCGTCATCCTCCTTGCCGGCGGCGGCCTCCAGATCTTCAACCCGGTGACCCGCCGGCGCGCTCCCCTCACACTGCTCCACGGCGCCGCCTGCATTTCCGCGATTTACCCTCATCGGCCATCGGGATCGTACCGAGTGTGGTGCTGCTTCAAGAGAGTCGAGGACGGCCACGCCGTGTGCAGGTTTTTCTCTCTACTGCCGGTACTAGATCGAGAAGGTGAAGTGCTCATCCTTTCTGACAGAGGGGAATCAGGCATCCTGTGGCAACATCTGTATCACATGTTAATTTGATTCCCATACTAATTCTCTATACAACTTCACAATTTTATTAGTATAATCACTGGTCTTCCTATACCATTTTTCTTATTACTAGACTCTGTTAACAGATAGTTCTGACCGATGCCATGGCAGTGATGAGATGAAGGTTTAGGTTGGCGAGATGTGATGAAGGATCTCTGTGGGCTATAAATGATTGAGATTGTGTGTCAACATTCGGTCTTTGGTGGGTTTTTCTTTGAGGTTGGATGCTAAGGCAAGATGGAAAAATAGCACACAAGTAACAGATCTTTCAGGTTCTTTATGTATTGATGACAGTTTGGTACGTACAGGTATACAACTTGAGTGTCCTCTCACCTTCAGTAATATCTTGTTATTGTACTTTTTTATCACATAGTTAGTGCTGAATTCCCATCGGTACATATCACTACAAGTGGTGCTTATTGGATTTAAGGGGCTTTGAAGTTTGAAAATATATGCTAATGAAACTGGTTTCATGGATGTCCGGGTCAAATAATGTTGTGTTTACCATTCCTCTAAAACTGGTTTCATGGATATAGACTGCAGAGCGATGTAAAAATTGGTAGATTTTTTTGGAGAAGTTTCTTATTCGTGGTACAAAGATCTTACTCTCTACGCAAATCAAGAATAGTGTTTAGATTTCTGCTAGATAAGAGTAAATTGCTTCCATATCTGCAGACATGTTTTGTCTGGGACTGGGACTTGGCTTTGTTTCAGTTTTGTATGACATGCTAGGTAATTCTCGGTTGTTTCAGTTTTGTGTGACATGCTAGGTAATTCTCGGTTTATTGTATAAATCTGGCATGTTTTTTTATCTTTGACTTTTTACTGATTAGTAAGAGGGAGCAGTGCATTTTTCTCATATGTATTCCTGGAAGAGGCAGGCGAGTTCTATAGTGGAACTATGGAGTGGTTACATAAGCCAAAATAGCCTATTTTGTAAATAGGTAATTCATGGTGTTTTTGGATTTTCTGACCAATGATGGTAACCGCTCTTTATTCCAGATAGTTGCCAATAGGACCACATGTTCTAATAATGAATATTTTTTGTACTTATCTAATTGACTCTTTTTCTCATGAAACTGTCCTCATAATTTGATTGGTAAAAAGATGGCTGAGTAGACTGACATGGAATGACAGAGTCCACCTCTGAATCCCGACTAAAAACATGGCCACTGCATAACCAGTGCAACTACCAGAACTCAAGATCTGCAGTGACAACAATTGTTCTTGGTCAGCAACAGTGGACTCCTCCAGCTAGGTTAGGCATCGGCACTTATGACTTAATTTCATTGATGTTGAGAATGCAGCTTTCAAGCTCTAGGTTGTCGATGCATCTATGAGTAGGACTGACTAGGACATGTTCTTTAAGGTGACCTGAGTTCCTTAGTGTCGAATAGATTAGCAGTTCACTACGAAACATAGATTGTTACTCAAGAAGTTTTTTTTTTTTTGCGTCATGCTTTTCTAGATAATACTGTGAATCTGCCTCCTGGATAATATCTGGCCCCTGTGAACAGGCGCCGGCCATGATTCAACCAAGATGGCTGTCATATCTTCTTTGGTTCCCAGTAAATTATCTACATCCTCTTAGATCAATATACTTTACATTATGTTTGAGATCCTAAAGGTTTTATTACTATTTCTCTGATGAAATGGATGGAATTATCCTTACTATTGTAATACTCATTGACCATTCAGCTCGATTAGGCGATTTTGGTTACCATTGTTTGTAGACAACTATGTGAGTTGTATATTGATGTCTTCGGGATCATTATTTGATCATTCTGAATGCAAAGTTTTTGCATCACCGTTGTATGAATAGACTATTGGTACATTCACCAGTAAGAATCAATTTCATTGTACATGTCAAGGATAACTAATATTTGATCCAGTGATGTCAAATTTTTAATTTGCACGAGGCTTCTGCTAATTTCTCTTGAATATGACAAATGGATTTTGTATGGAACATGTGTGAAGCTAAAGCTATGAGATGTGACCCATATATTTGTAGAGTTTTTGGCAGTAGGATTTGCATAGCTGCTGGCTTTAAAGTTGCTTGTAACTGATTTAGCACGAGGTGCTTATCATTATCCAATCTCACTATCCTCGATTCCTCTCTTAAATTTTGCAGTGATTCATCAGAACCTAATTCATGTGATTTGGTTTGCAATTGTGGGCTGATGATGAAAACCTTTAGTTATCTCAAGAAGGAAGGTTGAGCATTCAGAGTGACAAGGAGTACCGTTACACTGGGACCAATGGTAAATGCTCATTTGGTTTCTGGCTCCATCGATTGAGAAGGGCAGCAGGCCAGCAGCTCAGATTTGCGATAGGGATTCACACCACAGCAACTAAAACCGAGCTGGTGCTCTAGAACCTTACATCCTTCGGAGGGTAGGGACAATATAGGTGACATAAGACTGCATTTTGGCTCCGGCATTCGAGAGAAGCTATTGGTGAAGAAGACGAAGAAAGAATCTAGATAGAATATTATGTATTTTTATTTTAGATCTTTTCATGTGTAATTTAGGAATGTACTGTGCCAAAATTTAATATAAGTCCCCCTCTTCTTTGCAAAAGAAAAACATAGATGACATAAGCACCGCCTCCATGCAAGGAAGGTGGTACAGGAGTGAAGGAGTGAGCATTGCAGTCAAAGCCGAGTCGTGTGGCTCCAAATAGGACTAGGAGGGATGGCGAGGGATCTAGAGCTTGTGCCCAAGTGGCACCACAATTTGATCATAATGTCATGATTGAATTTGTAACGCATTGTTTTATTGTATCTTTAGGCCTTGTTTGGATGTTGTCTGATTTAACTCAATTCATATGTGTTGGGGTGAATTGGAGTGGAACTTAAACTAAATTTCATCTTAATCCACTCCAACACATGTGGATTGGGGTGAATTCGACAATATCAAACGAGGCCTTATCGAAATAAGCTTTATGTGATCCGGAGTGGTGTCACAGACCATTTGGACCACCTATTGTTTTTCCATGATAAATTATTTTAGGGGGAAACATCTTGGTATTTAGAAATAAAAGAACAATAAGATACAAGAAGCGGTAGAAAAGATAGTTGTAATAAACTATGTTCTTATAGTATGAACTAGATTGTTTCAATTTCACATTAAAGCTTGAATAGATCGTTGTAATATTAATTTGTTCAATATCGTTTTTTGGTATCAATATAACACACGTTTTTATTTACATTGTAGTGGTATTATTTTTGGATTAAATGTTAATTTAATGTCGGTATTTAATTTTACAGATGTTGTATGATCATGTATTTTTAGTACAAAAGTTTAGATGTTTCAGTAGCACGCACGGGCATGAACCTATACAACTATAAAAAGAAAGAAACTAAGATCGTCGGTTCGTGCGACATTCGTTTGGTGTCGCCGCTCTGCCTTCGTCGTGCGATCCCGCGACTCCGCGATGCCGATTGTTTCATCGCCGCCAGGTGGGCCTCCCTTCCCGCGCGCCGTGAGCCCGTGCGATACCGCGACACCAGGTGGGCCTCCTTCCCCGCGATCACGTTGATCGCGCACCTTCCCTTCCTCATTGATCGCGGATCACGTTGATCGCGCACCACGTTCCCTTCCTCATGCGATCCCGGTCATAGAAAGCACGACGACGTCGACCAAAGATTAGCAGATCGAGTTCGCGGTGTTTTGATCGCCACCATCAGCGGCGGCAGCGTGGACATCTGCGCCATGGTCGCCGAGCACGAGAAGATCGAGTGGGAGGTGCGGCCCGGCGGGATGCTGGTGCAGAAGCGGCGGTCGCCCGAGGACGACGCGGCGGCCGTGGAGTACATCCTGGTGAGAGTCTCCACCGGCTGGCAGTGGCACGACGTCTCCATCGACGCCACCGCAACCTTCGGTACGTCCGTCGCCGTCTACTCCTCCATGCTCCGCGGCACCGCATTAGTGCCGGGACGCCAAGAGCTTCTTCATCGACGACCGGCAGAGCCACGACTGGTCCCGCACTCGACCGCCGGCTTCCAATTTCAATCCGTCATCCTCGCCATCGCGCGGCGTGGCCGCCCTTGCCTGTCACCCATCGCAGTTGCAGTGGATGGGGCTTGACAGGCCGAGCGACTCCAGCAACGAGCCCCCGGACCGGAGTTCAGGCACCTGAGTCGGTGGCCGATCACAGGGTAGGCATCATTACTTGTCACGACTGAGATCCCCAGCGTCTACCACGGCAGGTGCCGCTGCACCGTTCGCTCTCCGGCTTGGCCGTTATGTAGCGGCTTTCTTGCGGTGTTTTGATAGCCAGTTCGTTTCTTCCTTGAATTGCAGGTGTGTCAAGATGATGTTGGACAATTCAGAAGGTACCTCCTCAAAAGACTTGGTTTAGATGTTTGACTTATTTTGCGGTCGTTGTGTGAGATGAGGGATGTAAAATTGTAAAAGTGGGAGCCTATTTATTGCTGATCCACGCTGCTGCCACAACCATGGCCACTGCTTACAACATGTTTGTACAAATGAGTCCCTGCTCAAGTGCTCACAGCCCAGATGGACCATCCAGTGTTGTGGATTAGAGTGGTGTACTTAACTTAGCCATACAAATTTGCATTAAATAAGTTTACATGAAGTTGGGTTCTATGATATGATTTTTTATTATAAATTTGTTTCAATATTATATCCATTATTATTGTCCAAAAGCAACAGATGGAGCGATGATCCTGGAGATTGTATGGTCAAATTGAGTCGTGCTTCAACTAATCCTTTTTTTATCTCGTGCTTCAACTAATTGTGATATCAGACAAGGCTTGGTGCGGTGGTGAGAGCTGTCTCACTGAGTCACCAGGTCACGGGTTCGAAGCAACCTCTCCGCAGATTTTGCGGGGAAAGGCTTGCCTCAGTTTTTCCCTTCCTCAGACCCCACTCATGTGGGAGCCTTCGGCACTGGGTCTACCCCTTTAGACAAATGGTATGCCTTATCTATGCCACATTGGTTGTATAGTATTATTGGATTTTCCATATTTGTGATGTGTCACTTTAATGTCGGTATTTATTTTCACAGTATTGTTATCTTATCGTGCGATCCGTATATTTTTAGTACAAAAGTTTATCTGTTCCGTAGCAACGCACGGGCACGCTACCTAGTCTAGATATAATATTATATCTAGATACATAGTAAAATAGATGTTCCAAAAAAAGTCGAAACGACTTATAATTTGAAACGGAAGGAGTACTTCATGTGTTCTAATGTGTATTTGCATCTGTTGAAATGCACCTTTATAGATTTTTAATATGTATTTAGTTAAAGTCTTAGCTTAATTTCCATAAGCTTTTGTTGCATCATTTTGCGACGAGTGTTAAGTTTGAACTCTTACGGTTATTATATTTTTTATTCGAAATTTCCTTTTATTTTTCTATTAGAAAACAGATTCTATGTCCTAGACTTTAGCTTTAGTTACTATAATAACATAAATAGTCGTTTCAGTTTTCTCGATGGTACTCAATGATCAAGATATTATTATAAAGAATTATATATGTAGTAGCATCTTCAGCGCCTGCTTCCGGATTCAGGGCCGGCTCTACAATTTTAAGGCCCCTTGGGCAAGCAAGACAATAAGAACCCATTGAACTAATCTTCTTGTTTTCTTTTCTGAGCATCCGACAAATGCTTCTTAGATAATACCTAACATATTCAAGTAATAAATACATTGAGTTAGAAATTTGGAACCCTACCAGGCCAGTTTACAAGCAAAGGCACATACACAAAACAAATAAAAAAAACAGGCTTCATTGCTTCAGTACTGTGATGCCCCTAGTTATAGCACCCAAGGATCGAATCTAGAAATTGAAAATTGGAAAATACTGTGATGTTGTGATGATCGGTCATGGATGTTGCTTACTGTGACGATTGGTGTCGCGCTTGCCACCGTCGTCCTCACAGCTCGCGTGTCCCATCGCGTTCGCTCCATCGCGGCGGTGTGCGATGTGCCGGCGAGTCGCGTCCTGGTGAGAATAGCAGGCACTAGGATAGGGCAACTGGGTGAGAAACTGAGAATACGAGGCGCCGCCCCAGGGTCCCGGCGACCGCACCGGCCTGCCCTGGATTACCCCGCTGAAAGGTCGAGATGGCGGACTAGAGGGGGTGAATAGTCTTTTGTAAAATTAATCGCGTCGGCTAACCAAAACAAATACAGAAATACAACTATCGGTCTAGCCAAGACTACACCCCTCAATGTATGTTCTATAGCACCTTGCAAAGATACTAATAAAGCAACTAAGGTGCCAGGCTAGTTAGAACTCTCCTAAACAATTCTAGGAGCAAAGTCACACAAACCTATGCCACTAGTACTTTAAGTAACAAGGGAGTTCATACACATGCTAGTAAGCAAAAGCACAAAGCTAACTAAGCTCACTAGCAATGCTCAATAACAAGGCAACCAATGCCTAATTAGAGAGCGCAAATACTTAGCTACACAAACTAAGCAATGTGACTAACAAGGTTACTAAAACCAAATTAGCCACGCAAGGGAGCTACTTCTATGCTACACAAGCAAGAAGGTAATTAGCTAGCTACTCAAGCTATCTAATTACAAGAGCAACTACACAAGCTTAAGATATATAAAAGTAATTGCAAACTTGTGTAATGAGGATGCAAACCAACGGGAAGAACAAGGTTGACACAATGATTTTTCTCCCGAGGTTCACGTGTTTGCCAACACGCTAGTCCCCGTTATGTCGACCGCTCACTTAGTGGTTCGGCGGCTAATTAGCATCACCCGCTAAGCCCGCACGTCGGGCACCGCAAGAACCTACCCCTTGAGTGAGGGTAGCTCAATGACACGCTTTACTAAAGTTGCTCTTCGCGACTCCCACGGGGCGAGCACAAGTACCCCTCACAAGCTCTTCTCCGGAGCGCCGCACAAGCTTCTTGCGGGCTTCGACGGAGACCACCACCAAGCCGTCTAGGAGGTGGCAACCTCCAAGAGTAACAAGCACCACCAGCTTGCAACACGACCACCTAGTGCCACTCGATACAACCTCACGATACAATCGCACTAGAATCGCTCACTCACACAATCGAATGATCACTATCAAGTATATGTGTGATGGAGGGCTCCCAAGCACTCACAAGCATGGACACTAAGTCCCTTGAGGTGCTCAGCACCAGCCATGGCCGAAGGCCACTTCTATTTATAGCCCCAAGGGCTAAACTAGCCGTTATCCCTTCACTGGGCAAAAATCGGGTCGACCGGACGCTCCGGTCGTGTTGACCGGACGCTGGACCTCAGCGTCCGGTCGCCCGCAGACGGCCACGTGTCCTGATTCCAACGGTCACTTGACCTGACCGGACGCAGCATCAGCGTCCGGTCGTTTCCAGTAAGGTACCCGAGGCGTAATTCTTTGACCGGACGCGTCCGGTCGCACGTGATCGGACGCAGCCCAGCGTCCGATCACACTCCAGCTTCTGCGTCACCGTACGTCAGCCTGACCGGACGCACCCTGCCAGCGTCCGGTGCTTTCAGACCCAGCGTTCGGTCAGTTGACCGACGCCAGCGTCTTCGCGATCAACTCGTTTTCACTTCTAACTTCTTCACCCTTGCTCCAATGTGCCAACCACAAGAATTTATATCTGGCGCAATAGAAAATAGGCATTCCATTTTCCCGAAAGCGCCTCAACCCTGCAAACACCACCTCCTTTGTAAATGTGCCAACACCACCATGTGTATGTGTGTTAGCTTTTCACAATCATTTTCCAAAGGATGTTAGCCACTCAACTTGCCACGCCACTCGATTCTAGCGACGATGCAAAGTTAGATCACTCGAGTGGCACTAGATGATCGATATGTAAACAAGTTTGCTCCTCTTGATAGTATGGCCATCTATCCTAAACCCGGTCATCAACTTCTCTACACACCTATGACCGGTGAAATAAAATACCCTAGGTTATACCTTTGCCTTGCGCATTCCATTCCATCTCCTCCAATGTCGATGCAACACATGCACCAACACGATCAACAATGATATGATCCACTTCATATCATCACGTGATCATATTGGTTCATCGATCTTGACTTCACTTGCCCTTCACCGTTGCCATCGTCCATCGGCGCCAAGTCTTGCTCAAGCTTCACCGCCACGCGGTCCATCATTCCAAAGCCTTCGACTTGCCCTTCACGCTTGCAACCGGTCCATCAAGCCAAGTCTTGTCTTGATCTTCTCCACCTTGATCACATGACTCAATGTCATGTCTCATGTGCGTTAAGCTCCTTCATCATCACATGTGTGAGCTTTGCAACATCTCTAAGCCATTTTCACCTTCATGGCATATGTTGCTCACACACATGTACCTATAGACTAATTACCTGTGTATCTCACATAAACACAATTAGTCCACCTAGGTTGTCACTTAATTAACAAAACCAAACAAGGACCTTTCACCCGCTCCCCCTCTCCCGGTCACAGCGAAAGGAAAACAGGGTTCCTAATGCAAAACTGTTCATTAGCTTTTTTTTTCGTGGGCAAAAAATTATGGCCCTGGTGGAACGCATGGGTATGTATATAGTTATTTAGAAAATAAAATAGATCTAATGATTATTATTACCAATGATAATTGGGCCCAATCATTTTTTTTCGGTGACATTTTTTTATGATTCTAGTACGTCTTGTGAGTATTAACATGGATATCCAATTAGGAATATTAACATCCTCTGTGCAGATTTTTTATATGTATTTAGTTGATACCTAAGTTTAAGTCCTATAAGCTCTTGCTATATCTTTTTGTGTCATCATAAGTCTATATTTTGGCTTTCAACTTTCGATGTTATTAGTTATGTCTATTTTTAATCCATGTGTTGAGTTAAAGATCAAGTGTTTTGTTTTATTCAAAAATATTCTTTTATTTTTTATTTATAATATATTATAATTCTAGCCTACACCCCGTTACTATAATGGCTTAAATAGTCCTTTCAGCTTGCATGTGGCACTTAAGATGTTGAATTTGCTATATTTATTAAGAATTATGTGTAATTGTTTTATGAAAAAATACCATGCTTAAAATTGAATCACCACATTTGATATGTCATAATGTTTCAATCAAAATTATAAACTTATTTAATGTATAAACTTACAAAATTTATTGTCATGGAGTGTTAATATACTTTAAGTGAAATTATCAATTTCATTGATATATGGTTTGATACACGAGAACATTCTTCTACGCTCGATAAAATATTAAAAAAGAAACACTTATCCTAATGCATGCATGTTTGCTTGTCTGTAGATAGTGCATAGTATTATGTTTACTTTTAATTTAACATTGGTACACGTGTTTAACGTAGAAAACATACACATCCTAAGTATTTATATGTAGATTTTGAGAGATATTTTATTTTATTTTTTACAGCCACACTTGTGCGTAATTTAGATATAAATTAAATTTGTTATTTTATATTATTTGTTGTAATTTACATGTGTAATTTAGATGTAAACTTAGGAATTACTTTGCAATATTTTTTGTAATAGCAAAGGCGGAGAATTTGGATCGAAATTTAAGGGGTTATTTTTAAATTATATTTCATAATGATATATGCCTTTAATTTATATACAAATGTAGATGGTTATTTGAAATTATTTTATAATGACAGGTTATAGGGAAATTAGGGGGGTTATTTTTATTTATAATGGCAAAGGTGGGTAAGTTTTTATAAAAAAAAAGAATACATCTAATGACATTAGTGACGATGATAATCAAATTCTACAAAATTAAAAGCCAACGATTGATTATTGTGAGAACTTTTCTAAGATTTATGGTTTTTCCTAGCACAACCTATGAGGATTAACATAGTGGCCACCAAAGATGTTTGTGATTCTTGTGAAAATTGACATGGAGGATTTATGTTTCTTCGTATAGGCCTCCAAAGTTGTTTCTGATTATCACAAAAATTAACATGGAGGATATTTGTTTCCCAGTGCGTCTCTAAAACCTCCCATTAGTAACAGTAAGATACTTGTTGTCGTTTGTTATTATATTATATTTGAACTGAAAAGCTTTGCAATATTCATAGAGTAATTATGGGTGTGACATTTAGTATGCATTGTATGTTTTTTTTTGGATAAATGCATTGTATATTTTTGTCCCTTCTGCGGAAGGGGGAGAAACCAAGGCTGTAGAGAAATGACGAAAATACCCCTAGTGGTCTGCCACTGCCACAGCTCAGAGTAGCGTGAGAGTCCTTCGTACACATGGTGCAAGAAAAAATGAGTGGACCAGAGGACATCCACGTGTCGTGCCAATGCTTATTTTATTTCAGTGACAGGAGACACAACCACACGGTGACGTGCGGCGGTTTTTTTTTAATAGTGGATCCCACCAACTGATACCCTGCGTCTGCTACTCCCTCCGAAAAAAATATAATTTAGCTTTGAAATCTGAACACACCTATTAGCGTAAATTTTGTGGGAAAACGTTTAAACTCTAGGATTGTAATATTTTTGGGACGGAAGTAGCTGATAAAAAAAGTCCCTTTATTAATTTCACTCTGAAATTCTATGTGTAATAAAATGCTCACAAAGTTTACGTGTCCCAGTTTACTGTTAGCTGTGCAGGCTTCTTCTATTCTGATTCTTCGACCAAGGCCATGTTTAGTTGCGCAGAGTTTATCTACACTGTAGCTATAGTCTCATTTTGTTTTTATTTGGTAATAATTGTCTAATCGTTGACTAATTAGGTTCAAAACGTTCGTATCGCAAAGTACAACTAAACTGTACAATTAGTTTTTGATTTCATCAACATTTAATACTCTGTACATGTACCTCAAGTTTGATGTGACGAGAAATCTTCTTTTTACATGGTGCCAAAATTTAGATTTTGGATGAACTAAACATGGCCCAACTTCATTTCACTCACGTTGATTGGAATCCCATGAAGATGCGCGGGTCCTGTTTTACTCGCACAGCTTTACAGCATAGGGGAGCGGTTAGCGCCGCGCCACCGCTAGTCTAGGGAAGCATACGGATACGGCACTCAACTCAATCACCGATTCACCGGACGAATAATCATCATAATCATGACATGTTTGCTCCAGTGATCCTTTCTTCGGGCTGCAGCCTGCAGCTGCAGGACATCAATAGCATTGAGCAGAGCTAACTCCGAGTCAAGCCCCAGCGGTCTGGCACTGGCAGCTTAATCGTGCCATCCTAACTAAGCTCTGGCTCACGCCGCCAGCATGAACGGCGAACCACCTCACGCCAAAGGGCCTTGCCATCTGAACCGCTTCGCCGTGCAGGGCTCGATCGGATGACAGATAGGCGGCGTGTTCCGCGGGCGAGGCTCGATCGGAGCTCCCGCGCATGCATTTGGGTTAGCTCCCTGGCTTCTCCGGTTCCATGAGGCGCAGGGATTCGCCGCGCGCGTGTTCATGAACTGCAACCGCACAGCCGTAGAGAGCACCAGTACTGTAAACGTCGCCGCGACGACGATGGTATGTAGTGCGCTACTGGAGCTGCGCTGGCCTGAAATTTTGTGCGCACGATCGATTCTGTGTGTGTGTATGTATATATATATTTCTCCAACGGTGACCTTGCACTGTTCGTGCCGACGTTGCAGGCGCTGCTGACGGAGAGACAGCCGCAGCCGGAGAAGAAGCCGCCACGGGCGAGGCCGATGTCGGGGAAGGGCGTCGTCATGCTGTGCGCCGCGAGTTTCTTAGTGGGGCTGCTGCTCAGCGGCCGGGTGACGCTGCTGGCGCCGCCGTCGAACGCGCCTTCAGTCCGCGGCTCCAGGATCGCTCTGTTCTCAGATGGCTGCGACCAGAGTAGGCGTGTAAGTAACTAATGAGTAAGCACATTGAGCGAGCGAGCCTTATAGTTTTCTGGAGCACCAACCATACGCGATATGATCATATGAAATGTTTTTACTTGTTCCTGTCTCAGAAGCTGGACGAGAGCAGCCCCAAGGACATCATGAAGGAGGTGTCAAGAACTCACCTAGCAATCCAGTGGGTAGCATAAGTGTTTCTTATATAACCTGGGTCTGAGCTCTGAACTCTGAAGACTGAGCTAATAACGTGTCGGATGCATTCATGGCATGCACAGGTCCTTGGACAAGTCGGTGTCGTCGCTGGAGATGGAGCTGGCCGTGGAACGAGCCAAGCAGAACGGCGGCCTCGGCGTGAGCGTGCCGTCCAGGGGCCGCCTCCCCAAGGCGTTCGTGGTGATCGGCATCAACACGGCCTTCAGCAGCAAGAAGCGGCGCGACTCGCTGCGCGACACCTGGGTGCCCCGAGGGGACAGGCTGCGGCGGCTGGAGAAGGAGAAGGGGGTGGTGGTCCGCTTCGTGATCGGGCACAGCGCGACGCCCGGCGGGGGCGCTGGACCGCGCCGTCGACGCGGAGGCGGCGGCGACGGCGGACTTCCTGCGGCTGGACCACGTGGAGGGCTACCACGAGCTGTCGGCCAAGACGCGGACCTACTTCGCCACCGCCGTCGCCACCTGGGACGCCGACTTCTACGTCAAGGTCGACGACGACGTGCACGTCAACCTGGGCATGCTGACGAACAGGCTCAACAAGTACAGGGCCAGGTCCAGGGTCTACATCGGCTGCATGAAGTCCGGCCCGGTGCTGTCGCAGAAGTAAAAATATATAAATGCATCTGAACTAGATCTGTGCTTGCTTGACCTGCACTGCATGGCTAACTCCATGAGATGGTGGTTGGCATGGCAATGGCAGGGGCGTCAAGTACTACGAGCAGGAGTACTGGAAGTTCGGCGACGAGGGCAACAAGTACTTCCGTCACGCCACGGGCCAGATCTACGCCGTCTCCAGGGACCTCGCCTCATACATCTCCATAAACCAGTAAGCTAGCTAGCGTTCCTGGTTTGGCATCGACGTCGACGTCGCTCCGACCCGTTCGCGCACACAAGCGTGCTCCGTGCTGACAGTTACTGACCATCCATGTGTGCGTGCTTACGCTGCGCGCCGCGAACGAAAACGACGCATGCTGCAGGCCGATCCTGCACCGGTTCGCCAACGAGGACGTGTCGCTCGGCGCGTGGCTCCTCGGGCTGGAGGTCGAGCACGTCGACGACCGGAGCCTCTGCTGCGCCACGCCACCAGGTACGTACGTAGTGCAGGGATCCTTTGCATATGTGACGGCCCGGATGGGGTAAAAGCTTTTGATTTTGGCTCCTGCCCCCTGGGGTGTACGTGGTGTGCAGACTGCGAGTGGAAGAAGCAGGCCGGGAACGTGTGCGCGGCGTCCTTCGACTGGTCGTGCAGCGGCATCTGCAAGTCCGTCGACAGGATGAGGGCCATCCACAGCGCCTGCGGCGAGGGCGACGGCGCCGTCTGGAGCGCCGCCATCTGATCTCTGACTCTGATGATCCACCAAAACCATCATCAGCACCAGGCTTTACCCTTTTCTAATGTTTTTTTTTCTATTTCCTCTAGATTTTTCTGGAACATGGAAACCATCATTCATGGATGGTAGCATAGCACTCTCAGAAATCAGAGCTGAGATACATCATACACGCAGGACCAGCCACCTGCATTCTCATGTGCTATTATATTGCCGAGTGCTATTTCTCTACTACCAGTACACCAAGTGGTTGTAGCACGATGCGTGCATATGCTTGTGGAATCACAGGGTCCTGCTGTTTAGTTTTGCAAAATTGCAATGTAGTTCGAACAATTCCTTTTTCATTCGTGCTTTTGCAAACTTATGACCCATTCTGGTGAATAACATCAGTTAGTAGAAGTGTACAACTTACAACACCCAACAAAGCGTGCTGCTACTGCAACGCGCCTTGCAGCTTGCATTGAGCCATCAGAAAATTAGTAGCACTGTCCGGCTGTTGAGGAGTTTTTGGCGCAGGCAGCAACATTGACACGTGAGAGAGCCTGGCTGGCATAAGAAGGTCCTAAACATCAAAGGGAACAGCTAAACCTAACGGAAACTGCACACGAATCATCCACTGATGTAGCAACCTGCACTGCACTGCGCCGCAAGTGTGTTATTCCGGGAAAAGATCTGGCTAGGCCAAGGCATGTCTTAGCCACCAAACTATGGCCTAAAAGTTAGGCAAATGAGCAAAACAGGGCATCGAAAATATTATTAGTACTTTGTCATTTGTCCTCCTGCCACAACTTCAAACCTAATTCGAAAACGCTCCTTATAGGGCGTCCGTCCGCACGGACGGACAAACCCCGCACTTGCTCACGCCGCCCCCGCCCGTGTCGCCCGCGTCGCCTGCTCGCTCTACTAGCGGGACGGACCCCACTCGCGCCCGCCCCCACCCACGCCGGGCATGGCGAGCCCGATGTGCTAGGCGCTCGCCAGCTCGCTCCCGGACTCGCGCCTCTGTCATGTTGTGCTCCATCCGCTTTGCCCCTGCCCTCATCGAGGTCCGTGCCACCGCCGAGCTCCATACCTACGACCTCCGCGCCACTCCGCTGCTTCGAGCTCCGTGTCGACGAGCCTCCATTCGTCCAAGCAGCAAGCAAATGTTACGCTGAAAGTGCATGTTGCAATAGTATGTTTCAAGTGTTTCAGATGTTTCCGAGGTATGTTGCAATTGTTGTATATAGATGTTTTGCAAAAGTAAATCGGAATGTTGCACATGTTGTAATGGTTATACACGTATGTTTCAAGTGTATGTTCCAAATATTTCTGTGTCCAGACGAATGTTGCAAGTGTTTTGTCTGGATGTTGCAAAAGTAGATCTAGATGTTGCATATACATGTATGTTGCAAGCATATGTTTCAAGTGTTTGCAGGTGTTTCATACGTATGTTTGTAAAAGTAGATCTGGATGTTGCTTATGTTTTCAATGGTTTTTAAATGTTTTCCAGGCATTTTTGCAAGTAGTTTAGACGCTTGTTTTAAGTGTTTCATATATCTTCTTTTCTACGTTGCAACTGTTGCATTTGGATGTTTCGAAACTAGATCGGGTGTTGCACATGAGATGCGCGTGGAAAGCGGCCGGCGGCGCGAACGACGTCCGGGGCGGCGTCGCGAACTCGTCGCGCTACGTGCTCGTTCGCTCCCTGTGCGGGCAGAACCTAATTGGTAGGGCACTCTGCTAATCCGCTCCCAATGTCTGATAAGCGGCCACTTTTCTTTTCTTGCTTTTATTTTTTCTTCTAGGCAACTTATATTTAAACAATTTTCAAAAATATAGTTATAGGAATTGATTAAAGGGTAGAAGAAAGGAAACCGACTTAAGAGCAAGAGCCGCCCTGAAGCTCTATCAAATGGGGCTCGAGATTTGTCACTTGTTTACCAAACGGGGCTCTGTGACACAAGTGTTAAACAGTCTATGCTTTACTGCTTCGGCCAGCGAACATGTGACGAGTAAAAACGGACAAACATATTCAGAGTGGACACATTCGCAACAGCTAAAACAAGGCCGCGTGCATCCATCCATCCGACCGTCTATTTACACATTACGCATCTCAAACTCAAGCACTCATAACACTCAACTCACTGCCCCTCGGATACTGATAGCAAAATTCATTACAACAGGCTCCCTCCGGCGTACGGCCGGCCGGCCGACCGGGTCAGTCCCATACAATCGCGGAGTTCTTCGGCGTCACCATCTCGCTGTGCGGCGCCGGCCCTCCCCTCGAGAGCGGCCTGGCAGCGGGCACCATCGGCGCCAGGTAGTTGCCTACCCGGACGTACCCGCGCGCGTCGTACCGCCCGGCGTGGTGCTGCACGGGAACCGGCACGGGCGCCGGCGGGTACTGGTGCTGGTAGTGGTGGAAGTTGTTCTGCAACAGCAGGGGCCCCGGCCCCGCGCCTGCGTGCCTTGGCGAGCCGCTCACGTAGCCCGGTATGCTGCCGTCCACGCCGTGCTGGTGCAAGCGCTGCGCCGCCGCATCCAGAGTTCTGAGGTTCGGCGAGCTCCGGACGCGCTGCATCCCGAACCCGAACACGGTGGGCGGCTCGGCGCCCACAGCGTTGGCGCGCGGGGAATTGCCCGCCGAGACGGCGCCGTGCGTCTGGGCGGAGAACGGCGGGCTCCCGTCGGGCGAGGCTGGCACGGTGGCCACGTAGCGCTCCTCTGGCTGGAAGTGGTGGTGTTGCTGATGGTGGTGGTGGTGGTGATGCGGGTGGAGGCGCGACAGGCCAGCGTAGCGGGCAGAGGAGGGCACGACGGTGGGCGCGGCGGCCTGCGGCGTGAAGACGTAGACGCGGAAGCGCGGGGACGTGGTCGGCGAACGCTTCGCCTCGAGGCGGTCGTACTCGTCCAGCATGTGGACCAGGTCCTCGTCGCAGGTGACGGAGACGAGCACGTCGAGTTCCTCGGCGACGGAGAGGAGCTGGTACTTGATGGCCGCGACCTCCGTCTTGAACATGTCCTCCACCTTCTTCTTCAACTCTGCACCAGGCAATGACAAACAGGCCTGCTGATGAGATCCGAGATCCGAAAGAGGCAGGTTACGGAGCGCGGCTCCCCACAGCGGATCGAGAAGGCAAGGAACACCCACCGCGGAAGCAGATGGAGCGAGGCACGGCGAGGACGCGGGTCTCCCCGCCGACGTACTTGAGCACGCCGTCGTGCGGGCGGGGCACGATGCGGCCGCCGAAGCTGCAGAGGATCTTGATGCGCCCTCCACCTCCGCCACCACCAGCTCCGCCCGCGCCGCCGCAGGTGCAGGTCGGTGAAAGATGCACGTCCTCATCTGTGGTCGTGCCCTCGGACTCCGTTGTCGTCACCGTTGGCGGCGCACCCATCGCGTCTTCTATCTCGGCCATGGTGTCGCTTCACCCAAATTCTCACTCGACGAAGGCCAGCAGCAGAAGCAGAGGACGCGAAGAAATGGCCCGTAACAGAGACCTGTACAGTAACCGCAGCACGATTTATCAACTTGCACAAACGGCCCTCGAGACGAATCCCATAGACGAGGAATCACATGCTTGGTATTTGGAGCACACAAGAACACAAAGATTCATTTTTTTACTCTGATGACCAGAGTATGAACCCATATCTTGGGGGAAAAAATGACCTAACCAAGCAAATACTGAAACGCGAGATGAACTCACACCAGAACGGTCAAAGAGGTAATGTTTCCCTAAAGACTAGTACGAAAAGAGGATCCCGAAAGCAACAACCACTTCAGCATCAAACCAAGCGTGCGGACATGAAAACGCCCCACGAATTCAACACGGATGTGTCATGTCTGGCGGAGCAATTAATCGGCGCTCATTGGTTGAGCGACAGCACATGAGACGCCAGCCTTGCAAGTTATGGGTTTCCTGGCCAGCATTATCCTTCCGACGAGCGCCAGAATAAACCAGACAAAAAAAAAAGGATGCATTTTTCTTTGGAGCAAGGAATCAGAGCGCGGCGGCCGGCCAACCTGTTATCAGACGGGACTCCAGAAGCCACCGCGCTGACGACGACGACCTAAAAGATTCCAAAATTGTAGATCGAAACTGCCAGAAGAGAACATCCATCCAGATGAGCAAATCAAAGAAACGCGTCGGCAGATCGGGGAGGAACCGGCCCAATCGGCAGGGAGAAGAGGAAACCGAGAAGGGACTCACCAGAGATAACGGAACGGAGTATAATCCAACCAACCGGAGGTGGCGGTTCCGGCGACGGACGAAGTGCCGCCGAGCGAGCGTCTGGAACCGACCCAGATCGAGCCGGACTAAGCAACAAAGAGGGGGGAAGCAAGGGGAAGGCAACCCCCGAGAATCTTAGTGGAACTGATCAATCTTCCATCCGGGAGTGACTGATCAATCGTCGCCTCTCCTCACCGGCGGGCGTGGGCGCGTGGCCGGATTTAGGGAGGAAGGACGGACGCGCACGTCGGGGGCTCCTAGATTCGAGGACCAGCCGCTCGCTCGCCTATTCTTGGGGAGAGGATGGGTGGGGGCCGTGTGTGGGCCGCTAGCTGATTTCCTCCCTCCGTGCCTGCGGAGGACTCTGGAACTGGAACTCGCGACTCGCCCGCCGGCCGCGCCCCCTCGCGCTCGCGAGCCGGTCGTGAAATAGGTGCCGGGCCGTCCGGAACGGTGCCGCGAATATCCGCGTCTCGCTTGGGCTTGCGTTGCGTGCCGTGGTCGGTTAGCGGGCCGCGCGACGGCTCTGACGCGCCGGGCGGGGGGCCGTTCAGCGTCGCCGTCTCGCCGAAGCGCGGTGCGAACGCGTGCCCCCTGCTTGGCGGAGCGGCGTCGCCACGACGTATATCCCTCGACGGTTGGTGCCCGTGTCTGTGTGTCACGTATACAGGCGTTTTGTTGGGCACGCACAATGCAACGCAGCCATGGCGTAGATAGATTGGTATGTGGATTTATATGAACCTACTGTACTGATATTTCTGCCCCCAACGCGGCGATTTGATCGTGTCTACGTCCTGTGGAAGAGGGCGCCGCCGTTTCATCGGCATCCCGAGCTGGCAGGGCACGGCGCGGCGGGCGGCGGCTTTAGACTTTGGAGTGCGTTCAGCCGCGGTGCGAGGGCGTGTGCCTGGCGGCGATAGTCGACTAGTAGTCGGCACTAGAAGTTGTCAACGGCCCTTTGTTTCATGGCACTTGACGGCGACTCCTCCGCGAACGCTGGCCGCCAGTCCTCCTCCTGGTTCGCCATCGTCAACGATTCCCTGGCAATGGCAGTCTTTAAGAAGAAGAAACGAGTAGGAAAATCGATGCCGTGGCCATTTGCTAGCCGGATGGCCGCCAATTTTGCTCATGGCTCGTGGTGTGGGTCTGTCTTTTTACACATTAATTGCCTATCGCAGACCGCTCAGTACTGAATCTGCTCAAAGCAGTGTGCAATTTGCTCCTTCAGCTCCATCCGAACGAAATTGGAGACGGGCGCGCGCGCGCGCGTATATACGGCCTGTTCGGGAGACCGTATCGTATCGTGGATTATTTACTGCTGGCTGGTTTGGTGTTCCCGGCTGGAAATTTACGATCGTTTACGAGCAAGCGAACAGGCTGATATATATTCATAGATGTTGAAGACAGCGTAGATATACGGTGTGCCACTATTGTTTGTCTGCAGAAGCACGAGTCACTGGCGTGGCGTAGCTATACGGTGTGTCACTATGCTCAAATCAAATTGCACACAAGGCTTGTTTCACCGATAATTAGTAAAATAATAAAAACAAATGATTTCAGACCTTGTTTAGATTACCTAGGCTAATTGTCCGTAGCTGGCTAATAGCTTGAGCTAATTGTTAACTGGCTAATAGTTAGCCACCTCAAATTAGCCATGTACGGTTTAGATACAAGAGCTAACAGATAGGTGGAATCATACATAAAGTCAGTTCAATACCTGGAATTTTTTCGCTCTCTACGTGTGCTACCAAGAGGTAGGATAGCATAGGGTATTTTGGTCCTTTTGTTGCGGATTGATACTTTTAGTCTAAATTAGTTAGGTCTCGACGAGACCCAATTTTTTTTTTAATTTAACCCTTTTTTGAAGAAAATTTATGTTTAACCCCTGGGCGACGTAAACTGATCTTTGGACCCTGTGGGTCGTCGCCGTTGCCTACGGCGCCGAGGTAACACGTCTCGGCGCCGTAGGTCTTAGCGTCGAGATGCCTGGCCGGGCAAAACGGGGGGCATTCAAGTGGCGCTGACGTGGCAGGTAGGTCGGCGCCACGGACCCTAGCACCGAGGTCGGAGCCACTGATCTTGGCGCCGACCTCGGAGCCATGGGTCTCGGCGCTGACCTCAGAGCCAAGATCCATGGCGCTGAGCTCGGATTCAAAACCCACGTCAAGGTTTCCCTGGCCGAGGCTCCTTTCATTTCTTCCTCCTTGTTCTTGGGTTTCTCTCTCCCCAAACCACCCAATCTCTTGAATCGAGCAATTTGACCTTGAAAAGTTGTATTTGATCCATAGATCTTCGAGAGTAAGGTATGTTCTCTCCCCTCATTTTTACGCATTGGTTTGATACTTTGCAACCCTAAATACGTTAGTACTTATTGTTTGAAGTGATTATTAATTTTTTGTATTATGTAACGGTGGGATGCCAAGACGTGGTAAAACTAGTAAACCAAGGTAATCTCTGTCAATCGTGTTATATTATTGGTTCATTTATGTGCAACAAATGGAAAACCCTAGGTTTATGGTTTAATGCTCATTGCTTTTGGTTCTTAGAACGAAATTGGTTCATTTGTAGTTATGGCCGGATGACCGAAAATGCCTTCAACCCATTACCTCTGTCTAGTGGTGTTCTAGTGTCCATATGCTTTTGCGGTGATCCTTGCAAGGTAGCGAAGTCCGATGAAGAGGATTTGCAGGCAACTGCTTGTACCCCTCCTCCTAGTCCCCATATATCATCTTTCAGGGCCATTACTTTGCCCTCCATGCTTTCCCATACTTTATATCATACTTAAATATCTTCTTAGTGATCTCCATAATTGTCCTGACCTTCAAGTTGGGCTGACCCTTCAATGTTCTGTACAACCTTCTAGCAATGAGGGTATAGGTCAACTGTCGATGCTTCTGATTTAGATCTTTCTAGGCACAAGTGTGTGGACCTACAATTTTGGTGATCTTCAACTTCCTTGTGGCCTTCTGTTTCCGAGCACAGACCCTCCAATTGCAATCTACATTCTCGCACATCACTGTGTAACGGCGCTCCACATAGGAGTGTCTCACCTTGAATGGTCTTTTACGTCTCACAGAATATTCCTGTAACCACCTTCTCAAAGTGGGCAAGTCCTTGAAGACCATGCCCTTCTGAATTTCTATGCTATCACCGGCCTCAGGACCCTCTAGCAGCTCGTCATCTCTTCCTTCTCCATAAGCATGTTGAAAATGACTGAGGTCGCTGAATTCATGAACTAGTGGATCACGATCAGGACACAAACGCCTGATGAGCTCCATTTCTTGTTCGCTCAAAGGTGTAATTGGGCGGTCATCATTAGAATCAACGGCTCTTGCTGTGCCATAAGGCTCCTCATCATCCACAATATTAACATCCACACCGTTAGAGGCTATAAACCCTGGGTCCACGTTGGTTGATGGAGGCATAGGAGGGCAACCATCATTATCAGGATTGTCTCCTGGATATAAAGCACAAATATGGATAGAATTGAGACAAAAGAATGGAATGAAGGAAGAATAACGAAAGCGAAAGTGTTACTACGTCACTTACTTGGATGATTCTGGGTCAAAGGGATCTCTTAAGGGGCAGCAACTCCATCATCGGACCGACATTTTGTACGAACATCAGGACATACTCCAACCTTATTCGGGGCAGATTGAGCATCGGGCACCAGAACCACATCTTCCACATTCACCTCGCGGTTGGATAACGAAGGGTCAGAAGGTGCTAGATTCTCCGATTCTGGAGAGAACCTATGAGAGGGTGAATGCCCATTAGAGGGTGAATACCCATGAGCGGTGGGATCATTGTACAACTTCCGCACAACCAAATCCAAACATTGAAACTTATTCTTCATGACAGTTTTGACATATTTGTCCCATCGAGCCTCTGATGCAATTGGGACCAACCGCATAAAAATATAGCCTGATTTACCATAGTGAAGTACCCCCTCAACTGAGATGCCATCCTCATTTGAATTGCAATGAAGCTCATCACGAGCACTACCAAACAACTCAGAAAACAACGGCCGATCATCGAACATGAGAGGCACCCTTTGCATTCCAACAAAACTGACATTCCCAAACTTATCTTCCTCCACACTTTCTTCATAATACAGGATGACTACGTTGTCCATCTAGTTGGTATGCACAATATCAAAGTTATTACGGATTTAACTAATAATGATA